CTGGATTTCCACGCCCTGCTGGGGGGGGGGTGTTTGAACACCCCCCCTTGTAACTCGGCTCCTGGGCCACGTAGCGATACGCGGAAGGCGGCGTTCGAAAAAGCGTAAAAAAATAATGACGAAATCACTTCAGTCAATTTTTTGGTCAGGTCAAAGGTCAAGTCACCAGAGGTCATTGAAGGCAAAATTTCGCCGATTTCCAGGTCGAATGTCGACAATTTCCAAGAAGCCAACGCATAACTCGGAAACCAATAGAGCTACAGCGCCGCGGAAAAGCACATTCGATAGCCCTATTAACGCCCTTTCTGAGTAATACTCTCAGATTTGACCTAACGTCAACGGTTTTGCCTGCAGGGGGCAAAAACTGCAAAAATAGCCGGTTTTTTCGAAAACAGTTTTTCTGCAATAACTTTTGACCCAAGCCTTGTACGAGCTTACTTTTACCGGCATCGTGTTCCTCTCGTCAAGACGCATCGAATGTACTATAACTTGACCTTGAAAGGTCAACTTGAAAATTTGACCTCAGGTCAAGGTCATGACCTGACCGGAAAGGGTCATGTTGCATATCAGTCGATCCGTATCGTCGAGCTGAACACATCTAAGGCGTTTTCATCGCTCTAGCATGCCTCTATCAAAAGTTATTTGTGAAAAACTGTTAGATACCATTCGTGACCTAAGATGACCTCAGGGCATAAACAAGGGTCACGGACACCATTTTCAAGTTCAGTGTGTCTAAAACACTTGTAATTCGGTGTTTGGGAGTGTTTATAATGTCTTTCATCCAAAAGAGGCGCATTTCAATTTTCTCCCATTGACTTATAATGGGGAGGTCGCAAAATTGACCTGACCTTAGGTCATCGATATCAAAATTCTGAGATATACATTTTGTACATGCTATTGCTCTTAGCAATCGCTGAAAGTTTCAAAGCGATCGGTCACTCGGTGTAGCTATGACAGACTTTGAAAGTTTTTATGAGGTGAGTTCACTTCAAGTGACCTGGTGACCTGACCTTGAATAACCTTGGTCTGAAATTTTCACAACATGTGTAGAATTGATGTATGATAACGCCGTTTTTGAGATATTCGCGAAAAACCACAAGGCCACAAGGGGGGTGTTCAAACACCCCCCCAGCAGGGCGCGGGTTAATAAACGTGATGATGAGGATGATGATGATGACGTAATTCACGCGAGCGAATTTTTCATTTTCTTAATTAAAACAAATTTCTCAATTTCTATTTTCTATCAAATGTCAATTATTTTCAACAAATATAATGTATTATAAAAAGTGATGTATCTCTCCCTTTTTGTACATCATTTAAGAGCAAAAAACCTCGAATTGCTTTATTTCTTCCTATTAAACAATTAGGGATGGTGGCCCTTCCCCACACAATGAACAAAAATGTTTGAAAAATATTTGTTAGTGCTAAAAAACCATTATTTGGCATTGTGGCAAAGTCACCCCTTATTCATTTTAACTTTGCCACGACTCATTTTCTTTGAAAATGTATATTTCTAGGCAAGATAAAGATACGATAATAGCAAAACCCAAAGAGCCAATCTTCCTCCGTGTTTTGAACATAGAGTAATCCCAATAAGTTAACAAGTTTAAATACTACAAGCGTCTAAAGTTGAAAACATGGCAAAGTGACCTCCGTTTACGGTAATGTTCAGCCTAAAGGAAAATATTCAAGTGACTCCAATCGGAAAATACGCTTCGTTCTATCGCTTTTGTGTTTTGATACCACAGTACTTAACACTATGTCACTTATTTTTATTTGTTTGGTGTACTTATCCAAGGGCCAGTTCAAATGAGCTCAACTGAGCTCAAATGACGTTTGTGCCAATAATTTGTTACATAATAAGGATAAAGCTTTAAAAATGGCATCATTTTATTCCTTTTGAACAGCCGAGTAGAATGCTATCCGACATTAGGCATTTCGAACATAAAGACTTAAGTTTTACTTAAGTTGTGCTTAACATTTTAAGTACACTTAAGCTAGCAAAAAAGTATTTCATTCGACGCGCCTTGATATGCTGAGTTCACTGGTGCTTTTGTTTTTGCTCTGTCTTAATTAGATCAAACGTTACAAGCGAAAAACCTTTGACCTGTTTTAGCGAAATTTTTACATTTATACCCCCCAAACCCCCTAAATATTGTTCTAGAGCAAACAAATTTGCACAGGGGCCTTTACCCAGGCTAAATCTTCAAGTCGACAAATTTAAGGCAAATTATAAAGCATTTAACCCGCGCCCGGCTGGGTGTCCTGGATTTCCACGCCCTGCTGGGGGGGGGGGGGGTGAACACCCCCCTTCTAACTCGGCTCCTGGGCCACGTAGCGATATGCGGAAGGCGGCGTTCGAAAGACCGCCAAAAATAAGACGAAATAATTTCGGTCACTTTTTTGGTTACGTCAAAGGTCAGGTCACCAGATGTCATTGAAGGCAAAATTTCGCCGATTTCCGGGTCGACAATTTCCTAGAAGCCAACGCATAACTCGGGAACCAAATGGAGATACAGCGCCGCGGAAAAGCGCATTCGATAGCCAAATTAACGCCCTTTCTGAATATTTCCTTAGACTTGGCCTAACGTCAACGGTTCTGCCTGCAGGGGGCAAAACTGCAAAAATAGCCGATTTTTCCGGAAACAGCTTTTCTGCAATAACTTTTGACCCAAGCCTTGTACGAGCTTACTTTTACCGGCATCGTGTCTCGTCAAGACGCATCAAATGAACCATAACTTGACCTTAAAAGGTCAACTTGAAAATTTGACCTCAGGTCAAGGTCATGACCTGACCGGAAAGGGTCCTATTGCATATCAGTCGATCCGTATCGTCGAGCTGAACACATCTAAGGCGTTTTCATCGCTCTAGCATGCCTCTATCAAAAGTTATTTGCGAAAAACTGTTAGATACCATTCGTGACCTGAGATGACCTCAGGGGAATAAACAGGGGTCACGGACACCATTTTCATGTTCAGTGTGTCTAAACCACTTGTAATTCAGTGTTTGGGAGTGCTTATAATGTCTTTCGTCCAAAAGAGGTGCATTTCAATTTTCTCCCATTGACTTCCATTGGTCATTAGGAGGTCGCAAAATTGACCTGACCTTAGGTCCTCGAAATCAAAATTCTGAGATGAACATTGTGTACATGCTATTGCCCTTAGCAATCGCTGAAAGTTTCAAAGCGATCGGTCACTCGGTGTAGCTATGGCAGACATTGAAACTTTTTATGAGGTGAGGTCACTTCAAGTGACCTGGTGACCTGACCTTGAATGACCTTGGTCTGCCATTTTCACAACATGTGTAGAATTGATGTATGATAACGCTCCGCGCCGCCGTTTTTGAGATATTTGCGAAAAAGCACGGGGGGTGTTCAAACACCCCCCCCCCCAGCAGGGCGCGGGTTAACCCTCGCCCCGTTGGGGGGGGCATTTTGGCCCCCCCCCCCTGTGGTTTTTCCTGAATAGCAAGAAAACGGCGGCGCGCAGCGCCGCCAAATTTTTAGTACCTTCCCGGGCATCAATTTGACACCTTCACACCAAATTTCAAGTCTTAGGTCACCTTAGGTCAGGAGTTATTGAGGTCAAACTGAGGTCATGTTCGAGCAAAAATGAGCAAAAAACATGCAAACTTGAAACGCTCACCAAATCTACAGTTATCAAGCAATTTCAAAGTTCTTTATACGGTCTAGTAGACAAAAAGCGACGCTACAAAACTGCTATCTCGGATTTTCAAAATTTTTGGTTTTTGACCAAAAAAAAAATCAAAAAATTGATTTTTTAAGAAAAACTTTGAAAAAATCCAAAAAATTTCTGAATTTCGAAAAAAACCGGAATATATGTGATAGTACCAGCGCTCTTCTATATACATACCAAATTTCAGATCGATATCTCGTTTTTTGGCCAAGTTATAGCGAAAAAACTGTTCAAAAATGATGACGTCAAATTTTTGAACTCAATTTTTAGCAATTCTAGACCACGTACGGCAAAACAAAGACCACCATTGAACTCCCCGTGACGAGCTGCATCGATTTGATACCCATTTTATGCAAAAATATTAACTTTGAAATTTGACCTAATTTGACCTGACCTTGACCTGACCTTGACCTGACCTTGACCAAAACGTGATCTAAGCTGGCCCCAAAGGCTGCCTGACCCATATAATCGCATTTGTCATGTAAAATGGACCATAAAACATGTATCACACGACACTTTCATATTGTGACCCCCCCGTGACCTGACCTCTGTGACCTGACCTGGTATCAGTGACCTCAAATAGCAAAATATGTGTTTGAAGAACATTTCCCCATCGATGATTTTCAATGAAATACATTTTACTCGATTTTACAACGCATTTCTTGAAGTGCCTGTAAACGGTGAAAATTGGACCTTTGACCTGACCTGTGACGTCATCGGTTTGACCTAGGTCAATAAAATTGGGTCACAAGGTAGTTCCCCGTTGGGGCTATCCAACGCCGTTTACCGCTTGTCGCTATGTTGCGTGGTTCTCGAGATCTTAGGGGGGGGCCAAAATGCCCCCCCCCAACCGGGCGCGTTGCTCGGCAGAGCCCAACGGGGCGCGGGTTAACATTTAATACTTAGCGCCAGAGGAGCTTTCCCTCTGAAAACTCCTCTGGCAGTGAGGGTGTTGCAAAGTAGCGGCATCTTAAGATTGTGCAGAGGTTCACTAATGACGTCATAAGTCAGTGACCCGAGCTGACCCGAAAATGGGATTGGTGTCAAAAGATCCGGATTAAATCAAAGGTCAGGTATAATAAGTTTCAGCTCTCTATCGCCAGAGAGTTTGGAGCTATTGCGAACAAAAATCTATGGAGGGGGGAGGCACCCGCCCCTCCACTCGGCGGGCGAGGGTTAAATAAGTCTGTGATGTTTTGAGACAGACGTTATTCAAAAATAGCTTCTGCAAAAAAATCGATTTCTTGTTCTTTGCGGACTCAGCCGATGACCTTATCAAAGCTAAAAATATTGATAAATACTTACATTCCGCATACTTTGAATATTACTTCAGTTTCATCGGCGAGTATGAACGGCGGACCCTGAACCTTCACTTCAAACTTTGGCAGCACGTATTCTTTGACCCGGAACACCTTTTTATGTACGTTGCTTGTCACGCCGCTGACGTGGATCGTCCAGTCACCCTGTAATAATCCAACAAGAAAAAATCAAATTACCGGAACATCAAGTTGCAGCCTTGCTCAGTTGGTAAGTAACGTAAGAGCCAGGTGGATGCTACTGGGCAGCACTGCTCGCCAGTTCTGCCGAGCGCCTTTTCTATAAATCATGCAATGTTTTGTTTTGCTTATTAGAATTGAGAGCACTCACCAGCGTGGGCTCGTCTGACAGCTGGAACTCCAGCTGAACGAGGCCGCTGCGGCCGCTCTGGTCGGTCCACTGCGCTACCCGAGTACCCAGCGGCGTCTGAATGAAGATCAACGGAATCTGAAAACAGGAGGAGGCACCTCAGCACAATGGCTTATGGAACTCTTAGACCCTAGTGACTGCTATTGTTTAACCCTCGCCCGTATAGTGTGCGTGTGTGTGTGTGTGTGTGTGTGGGAGGGGGGGGGGGTCGAACGAACCCCCGTTCGGTTTTTCGCAAATAACTCGCGTAAAAAGCGGATGATCGCGACAAAACTTTCAGTATCCTCGCGTTACTCAATTTTACACCAACCCTGAAAATTTCATGACGATGACCCAAATGACCTTTGACCTGTGACCTACTTTTCGAGACCATGTTTGGCCGAAATCGCGATACGGTGTATGTCGGCTCGCATTTGCCGCGCGTTTGCAGTCTTTTCGTGGTTTCGAGCATTTAAACATGTGATATGATGTAGCCCCCATGCATTTGGGTGGGTGTCAAGGTCACCTGAAAGTCAGGTCAGGTCATTGATCTTTGATGACCTCGGTTCACTTTGTCGAAATTTAAATGTCTGTCTCTAGGCTAGTTTTTGGAGCTGAATTCGAATTTGGCAACCATATGAACATTTACGAAGTAGTTTTGGTGCCTTCGTAACATGTTACGAAGCTATCAGAGGCGGTTGACACCTACTACAAATACTCGGCAGGACCCGTACTGGTTGACCTGACCTGACCTGACCCGACCTGGCCTAAATGCATGAAGACATCATTGGTGATCAGAACTAACATGATATTCGTGATCAGCACCCTGAAAAAACCCATAGCAGCCACACTTTACAATGTTCTAACAGGTTCCGATATTCCCGACTTTTGGGTTATCAATATCGACCTGACCTGGAAGGTCACCCGATGATCTAGGACCTTAAAATTGGATATCATCAGCTTTCTCTCGTGACGGGCAACACGCTCGTTTTCTCCGCGAAGCTCTAGCTCGATCAGGGGCCAAACGCGAAGGGGGTCGTACCACCCCCCCCCCCCTTGTGCCGTCGAAGGACGCAAAATGGCCTGTGCCGGCGAGGGTTAAAGTTGCATATAATTGGCTTACTCTCATCGCGGGCAGCACGCTCGTTTTTTTCCGCGAAGCCCTAGCTCGATCAGGGGCGAAACGGCAAGGGCGGGGTCCAACGGACCCCTTCCCCCATTTACGTTCGCGGTTGAAAAAGCACCAATACGGGCGAGGGTTAACCCGCGCCCGACTGGGGGTCGGGGGGGGGGGGAGACTATTCAGGGCCTCTCCCGTTTTTCTGCAATAACTTCAAAACTCTACATTGTAGTATCGGCGCTAAGCTTTCAGTACCTTCGGCTTCATCAACTTGACATCTTGTGTCAAAATATGAACTTGTTGCTACCATAGGTCGGCCGGAAATGACGTCAGAGTGATGTCATGTTCGGCCGATTTTGACACAAAACACTGAACCACGGCAATCGCTCCAAAGAGCATAGTTTTTAAGCTAGATCCAATTTCTTTGCATGAGTGGACTCAGAATAAACTGCGCCACCAAACTACTATCTCGGATTTTCAAAATTTTGAAAATTTTGAAAACAATTTATTTTAAAGTTCAAAATTTAGGTATATTTTTATTTTTTTTTTTTGAAAGGCTTTTGATGTGCTTTTTGAACGCGTGCCTATGACTTACTCTGGCAAGTTTTAGGCAGATCTTCAAAAATGGCCAAGTTATAACGCATTATAGCAAAACATTCGCAATTATAAATTTTTCAAATCAATTTTTTAGCACGTGTTGGGTTTCAATGAAATTAGCTTTCGCTCGACAGTTTTTCCGGGGCTATCAGACGCTGTTTGAATTTTGACCATCGGCCCGGTAGTTTCGGAGCTAGGAGGGGCTATGAAGAGCCCCCTAGTAGCCGTTTTCACGACGGCCATCTAGTACACATTTGGTGTACATTTGGTGCAGATTAGGTGCAGATTTGGTCAAATTAGGTTCATTGTGTCTATATAGTTATTAGCTAGGGCTGCACTAATTCCTTATATGCCTGCTTTGTCATATTATTAGAAAGTATCATCGATGAAAACACTGAAATAAATTCGTAAAATACAGATACTTGCTGTAAAAGAGATTAGGTGCAGATTTGGTCAAATAAGGTGCACTCGCCGGATAGCCCGTCGTGAAAACGGCTAGTAGGGCACGTTATACGCAGACCCCAGTGGGGCACGGGATAACCCCGCCCGTATGGGCGGGGGTCGAACGGACCCCTCCCCCTCGGTGTTTCGTAAATAACTCACGTAAAAAGCGTTTGATCACGACGAAACCTTCAGTACCCTCGCATTAATCGCGATTGGGCGTATGTCGGCTCGCATTAGCCGCGCGTTTGCAGTCTTCTCGTGGTTTCAAGCGTTTAAACATGTGATATGATGTTGCCCCCATGCATAAGGGTGGGTGTCAAGGTCACCTGAAGGTCAAGTGAGGTCATTGACCTTTGATGACCTCGGTTCACTTTTTTCGAGTTTTACATGTTTCTAGGCTAGTTTTTGGAGCTGAATTCGAATTTAGCAACCATACGAACATTTACGAAGTAGTTTTGGTGCCTTCGTAACATGTTACAAAGCTGTCAGCGGCGGTTGACACCTATTACGAATACCCGGCAGGACCTCTACTGGTTGACCTGACCTGACCTGACCCGACCTGACCTAAATGCATGAAGACATCATATGTGATCAAAACTAACATGATATTCGTGATCAGCACCCCGAAAAAACAGCAGCCACGCTTTACGACGTTCTAACAGGTCCCGATTTTCCCGACTTTTGGGTCATTGACCTAATCTGGAAGGTCAACTAATGACCTAGGACCTTAAAATTGGGTATCATCGGCTTCCTCTCGTCACGGGCAACACGCTCGTTTTTTCCGCGAAGCTCTAGCTCGATCAGGGGCGAAACGGCGAGGGGGGAGTCCAACGGAACCCCCCCCCCTATACGTTCGCGGCTGGAAAAACACTAACGGGCGAGGGTTAAGCCAGCTATTTTCAAAAATGGCCAAGTTATACGCATTATAGCAAATTTTTACAAACATAATTTTTTCAAATGATTTCTTTAGTACGTATTTGACATCGTACACCAGAATAGATAGCACCACTGTCGCTCAGAGCACTAACTGCATCCGACAGACATGCTTTTTTGTTGAAAAAGTTCAACTTTAGAATTTGACTTTTTTGACCTTAAATGGGCCTGACCTAAGCTAAATTGAACTCAAAATGACCTCGAATGACATAAACGACATCGAATCGAAAGCTATGTCCTAAATGAACCATAAAACATGTGTCGCGTGACCGACGCAGGATGTAAGATTTCCGTGACCTGTGATGACTGGACCCTGACCTGAAAATCAAAGTACAAGTTTGGTACCCACAGGGTATCTAAAGCATCTCTTTATGAGTGGGTATTCCAAAAATGAGCCTGATCTGACTAGTAAGACGGCGGCCAGACCCCAACATGTGAACAAGCCAAACATCGATAAATATTAACCCGCGCCCTGGTGGGGGGGGGCTATTTTTTGCCCCCCCTCCAGACTTTTTGATATATCTCCAGAACCGCTGCGCCGATCGTCACCAAACTTTCAGTACCCTCCCGGACATCAATTTTACACATTGTGACCAAAAATTTTTCCAAAGGCTATGATAGGTTGGCCGGAAATGACGTCAGAGTGACGTCATGTTCTGCCGTTTTCGACCCAAAAAAGGGTTTCGCGGGAAGAGCTGTCAGGCCTATAGCTTTGCAAATACAGAAAAATGATAAAGACATAAAAGCTGTAGAATCAACAGGGCTACAAAACTGCTATCTCGGATTTTTGCAATTTTTGGATTTTGACCCCCAAAAATCAAAAAATAATTTTTTTGCATATAATAATCGAAAAATCCAAAAAGTTTTTTGAATTTCGCAAAAACCGGAATATATGTGATAGTCCTTACCTCCTTCCATCCACATACCAAATTTGAGATCGATACCTCTTTTTTTGGCGAAGTTATAGCGAAAAAACTGTTCAAAATTGATGACGTCAAATTTTCAAACTCAATTTTTAGCAATTCTAGACCCCGTAGCGTAAAACAAAGACCACCATTAGACTCCCCGTGACGAGCTGCATCGAATCAATACCCATTTTATGCAAAACTATCAATTTTAAAATTTGACCTTTTTTGGCCTGACCTTGACCTGACCTTGACCTGAACTTCGCCAGAAAGTGACCTAAGCCGTACCTGATAGTCTTATAACCAATACCATTGAGTTGGAAATGAAAAATTGGCCATAAAACATGCATCACACAACCTTAGTAAAGTTGGGCTCATGTGACCTGACCTGTGACCCTTGGTGACCTGACCTGTGACCTGACCTGGTATTGTCAGTGACCTCTAATAGTAATATATCTACTAGGCAACTGACGCCCTATCGCTGATTCTCGACAAAATGCGTTTTCCTCGGTGTTATAGCGCATTCCCTAGAAGACCCGTGAACGGTGAAACATTTCATCTTTGACCTGACCTGTGACGTCATCGGTGACCCCGAGGTCAATGAAATTTGGTTTTCCTCGACAAATTTGACAGGCCTTTCGAACGCCGTTTGAATTTTGCGGATCCGTCCAGTAGTTTCGGAGATACGAGGGGGGGGCAAAAAATAGCCCCCCCCCCCACCAGGTCGCGTTATAAACAGACCCCACCAGGGCGCGGGTTAATTTGACCTGACCTGTGACGCAATCGGTGACCTCACAGTCAATGAAATTAGGTTTCGCGCGACAGTTTTTCCGGGGCTATCAGACACCGTTTGAATTTTGACGACCGGCCCAGTAGTTTCGGAGTTAGGATACCCCCCCGTAGGGCGCGTTATACGCAGACCCCAGTGGGGCGTGGGTTAAGCGTTATATGTTTTTACGGAGCGAGCGAAGCGAGCGTAGTCTTTCCTTAGATTAACGGAAATTTCTGAGTATGAGCGGCCGGCCGGCCGGCCGGCCGTGGTCACGCTTTTGCGAGGCTTATATCTCAGCAACCACTTGACCGATTTACACGCGGTAATTTTTGTAGGGTAGCTTCATTCCTTCTACCAAGTATTGGACTATTCCCGATGCATGCGGGTGACCCCTTATGCACGTGCCACGTGCAAAACGAAGAGGTGTCAGTTTTGTAATTGTTGCAATATCTCGGTAACTACTTGGCCGATTGCGCTGAAAGTTGGCATGTAGGTAGGCACCCACTAGGCACTGCATATACATGTGCCAGAGTTGGGGTGCTGCTGCACGTGCGCACGTGCAGGGGTCGTTTCCAGATCTCGGGAACGGCTGGACCGATTGCGCTCAAATTTGGTGTACGGTTAGGGACCGGTTAGTAGGATGCCGTGCACAAGTCAGTTGGGACCCATTTTGCACGTGCGCACGTGCAGGGTGCCGCTTCCAGATCTCGAGAACGGCTGGGCCGATTGTGCCCAAATTTGGCACATCGCTAGAGACCAGTTAGTAGGGTGCCGTGCACAAGTCAGTTGGAGGTACCCCCTCGCAATTTCGCACGTGCAAGGCCCACCCTCTCGCTCGCTCCGTTAGTCGCCCCAAAAGGCGTTATACTGGTTTATAGGAGGATCATTACGAAACAACTATGTGCCTTTGTTGTAGCAGTGTTTGTAAGTACGAGAGAAGACAATAACGTTGCGGCCGGTGACAAGGTATTTATCGCGTACGTTATAGGGACTGGGTGTGCCAACCAGAGGGTACGCGGCCAGTAATGGTTTCAATTGAGCTCTATTGCGCCGGCGCCACACGCCGAGTCCGCTGGCTATGTCTGCTGTCTGCAGCCGCTGCTGCACCGAAGTGCAAGGCCTCTGCAGAGAAAAGGACAGAGCATGTTCGTACGGAAGGTCCCCAGAGCCGGGCTTCATTGGGGGAGCACGCCGCGCTCTCTGAGGACTTTCCGTCTTGCAGTCATCAGTGGCGCCAATGCCAATCAAACTCGACAAAGGCGCTGGGCAGTGAAATAAAGCCCATTCATGGGGCTATGCTATTTCATCCTGAATCGGAGAGTGATTAGAGCCCCACACCATAAGTTAATATCATCAAGATAGAATGCATTATAATTAGTTTAAAAAGTCTCGTGGTTCAATTATTTGTGTAAAATTGATGCTATCCGTATCTTTACCAAAAATAAGCCCAAAAAGAAAACCGAGCACGAGAGACATTTCTTAACCAGCGCACCGAAGAGGGGGGGGGAGGTGGATATCCGCCCCCCCCCCCCTGAGGTTTTTCGTAGATAGCGGAAAACCGGCGCCGCGAAATTTAATACGACTATTCTCACCTCAATTTTACACATTGCGTGCAAGTTTAAACCTCCTAACTTTTAAGGTCAGGTCACCAGGTCACTTTGAATGACCCAGCCTCATGTCACTTTTTGCAACTTTGTCACCGTGCCAGCGCTACAGTAGATGTCGGAGGCCTTTGAAAGTCGCAGGATGTTATAAGATCATTAGTAGCTACAATTTGTTTATCTCGGAATTTTGATATCGATGACTTAAGGTCAGGTCAATTTCTCGACCTCCCAATTATAAGTCAATGGGGAAAAAATCAACACTCTGTTTTACCACTAAAAGGGGTCGGAATGGCCCCATAAACCATGCATGACTTCATATACGATCAAACTTCACTACCTTGAGGTCTGTTTTGCTGTTGGGCAGCTGTAAGGTCATGTGACGTCATCAAAGATCACCAAAGGTTTTTTTGCTAATAACTCCATACAGGAACATGATACAGCCGCGCGGATGGTCTCATTGTGTTCAGCTCGTCAAGACGCATCGAATGATATACATGATGACCTCGAGGTCACGTGACCTGAGGTCAACCTTTGACCTTGACCTTTCGAGGTCAACATATATATCATTGGATGCGGATTAAGAGGATCACGATGACGCCCTTAGTTTGTTCCTATCTTGACAAGTTCGAAAGTTATTCGAGAAAAACTCTCTCCATACCTAGCGCAGCCATTTTGACTTTTTTTACCCCTGTGACGTTGTCTTTGACCTGACCTGAAAATGATCATTGTAAAAACTGTAGACCTTGTCCGTGCGTATCCTATGCCGTTTACCGCTTGACGCTATCTTGCTTCGTTCTCGAGATCTCAGGGGGGCGGTCATCCGCCCCCCGTCGGTTCTAAGTTGGCGCAGACCCCCGTCGGTGCGCGGGTTAAGCACATACCGTCCCTGTTATTTAGCATACTATCAAGTATGAAGCGCACTTTACCACAAATCATGCTTTAGCTTTGCCGAAACGGAGTCCCTATTTCGACACCATATCTACGCACCTACTGGTACCGTTTATGTAGTTTCTGATCTAGTTATTAGATCCGCCCTTGGCGTCACCTTCGTCTAGTATTGGACTTACCGGCTTTGTTACCGGTCGCAGCTCAGAGTCGACGGAGAAAACGCGAAACCGCACCAGCTGCCCGGGCTTGTACACAAACTTGTCCGTCTGCACAAACAACTGCTCCGGCTGGTCCCCAGGAGACGACCTGCAATCCAGAGCGGAGTGCTAAACTCAGCAGATAGGTGAGTGACAAATGCCACATAAATAGCACTAAATACACCGTACCAGCGTGCCCTAGATTTTATAAACTCCATTAATGATCTTTTATTGATTGAAAAGAGACAAATGGTAGTGCGATAAAATGAAGACAGATATTCCTAAGTATATAGGAGCAGTAGGCAGATACTTACGCATGTCGTATATATCTTGAGAAAAGGAAAGTGCACAACACATTCAGGATTGTAAAATACCTGATTTGTCCGTATCCGGATTGTAAAACAATATCCGTATCACAAGATGTGGGGGAGAGTGGGGCTATGCGTTACACTTTTTGGTCTTCTGCACTTAGTGGCCAAGCTATTCAATGAAATTGCACCAAATTTAGTCACATGCTAGCTGAATCAATTTGGAAAGCAGATGCAAACTTTCACTTCTTTAAGACTATTCACTTTTATGTGAAATTCAGAAAACCAAAGCAAGATTTTTGGGGTAAGTTGAAAAATTGTGGGGCAATTTGATACACGATATGGAGTAACATGTTACACTCCTTTTTTCGTAGTTTCTTCATCATTATAACTGTCATTGGCCGTCCTATCGCAACCGATCGTAAGCCTCCTTAACCCGCGCGGGGCTGGGGTCTCCAGCCGAACGCGCGGGGCTGGGGGGGGGGGTGTAAATTTTACCCCCCCCTGTTATCTCCCGAACTAATGGTCCGATTTGGAAAATTCAAACGCCAATCGAAAGATCTCATCACGAACAACTAAAAACATGTACTTAATTTTAAGTTTGAGGTCAAGGTCAAGGTCAGGTCAAGGGTACAAATTGCAAGTTCCTACCGTATCGGCCTTGCACCAAAGTTGCCGAAGAATGGAGTCATGGACTGAGACTGATCGCCCAAAACGTGTTCTTAGGCTACCAAGACAATATTCGTTGCATACAATATCATTCAGAGGTCAAGGTCAAGGTCAAGGTCAGGTCAGGTCAGGTCAGGTCACCAAAAACAAAATATAGAAAAGGGCATGTGCGACACATGTTTTATGGGTCATTTTACTCATAGAATTCAATAGGCACACTCAATAAGTGATATGGACCACCTCTGGATGAATTTCAGGTCGAGGTCAGGTCAAGGTCAGGTCAAGTGTGGTCAGATTTTGAAGTTGGTTGTTAAAGCCTAAAAAGGTGTATATCTGATGCAGTTTTTCACGGCGAATCGAATGGTGCTATATTTGTTTCCGTACGAGGTCTAGAACTTCCAAAAAAAGTCATTTTTCAAAATTTTTGTGTGTCGTGACGTCATACAATTTTGAATAACTCCCACATTTTTGAACCGATTCTTCTAAAACTTGGTATGTAGGTGCTCATAGACCACTTCTCTGACATATATTCCGTTTTTTTTTTCGATACACTCAAAATTGTGGATTTTATTGCTATTTTCCCAAAAAAGTCAGTTTTTTGAAAAAATTGGGGCCAAAATCCAAAATTTTCAAAAAACATAGATGGCCATTTGATAGAAAAAGTAGAATTACGTATATCCTTTTTTGTTACGTCTTGATTCCCTTAAAAATGAAGATGTTAGCGGCGTTTGAACTTTTGCCGTTTTTGAGGCGAAAATGGCGAACATGACGTCACTAAAACGTCAATTTCTCAAAAAATTTCCGACAGATGTCGCTCAAATTTTCAGGGAACGTGTCAAATTGATGTAAGAAAAGGTACTGAAAGTTTGGCGGCGCGTTTTTGAGATATTGCAAAAATTCGCGAGGGGGGGGGGGGTAAAATTTACCCCCCCCCCCCCAGCCCCGCGCGGGTTAATGGATAATACTTAACATGCTTTCCTTTCTCATTGAAAGGCAAGAACAATAAAGCATAAACCATTACTGTACTCCACACGCATGAAAAGGCTCATCAAACATGGCTCAATCTCTGATTTGCCTTTACTGCGACGCCAAGGGCACCATGCCTTGTCATACTGACCGGAGTTTGATTTTCTGCACGAAATTTACGCCCAGGTGAAATGGAGCACGCTATAAGCAGTCTTGGGTAGCCATCTTTAACCTTCGCCCCAGTGGGGGGGGGGGGCATATGTTACCACCCTGTCACGTTTTTCGCGTGTAAATAAAAAAGCGCGGCGCGTAGCGCCGCGCCGCTTGGGGTGGCTTTTTTTACATCAATTTTGGACAATGTGTGAAATTTTTGACCCCAGGTCATGTCAGGTCAGGTCACCAGGTCAAGTTAACTGACCAAGCCTAAAAAAGTTTGCAATCATGTCCAGCCTGCAGTGTTTGCCAGAAAGGTTTCAAACTTGGTGGATTGCATGATGTTATGGGCGCCTACAAGTTGTATATCTCGGATTTTTTTTATATCCGTGACCTAAGGTCATGTCAGTGGCGTGACCTTACCATTATAAGGCAATGGAGAAAAATGAAAATGCCTCTAGATCCGTGTGTACGCATAGGAACAGTCCAAATATTTCAGAATCACAATGATTTAGTCCACTCGTGATGACCAAGGTGTCATTTTTGCTGATGGCCTCTAGACAGGTCATGCGAGGTCACTTGAGGCTACAAACAGTTTTTTGCCAATAACTCGCGATTGGAAAGAGATAGAACGCTAAAGATGGTCTCATTGTGTTTGTCTTGTTGAGACGCATCGACTGATATGCAACATGACCTTTTCCGGTCAGGTCATGACCTTGACCTGAGGTCAAATTTTCAAGTTGACCTTTCAAGGTCAAATTATAGTTCATTCGACGCGTCTCGGCGAGGAGAACACGATTCTGGCAATAGAAATGCCGTGGCTTTTTGTAGTCAAAAGTTATTGTCGAAAAACACTTTTCGTAAAAACAGCTATTTTTGGAGTTTTTGCCCTCTGGAGGCTAAACCGTTGACCTGAGGTCAATATTGATAATGACCTTTCCAAAAAAAGAGCCATGCGTTTTTCTAGCTACCATAGTTCCTGAGATAACGGCATGTTTTCTGAAAAATATCATGACAATTGGCAAATTTTGACCTTTGATGACCTCTGGTGACCCCAATATTGCTCTAAGGTGAAAAATGACTGAAATACTTTCAAACGTACACATTGAGAGCTATCGACTGCTTTTAACCGCGTCTTTCTATCCCTCTTAGTTTTTTAGTTAGAGGTGGGTGGTAACATATACCCCCCCCCCCCCCACTAGGGCGAAGTTGGCTGAGACCGCCACTGGGGCGCGGGTTAAACATGCCCCGGCCCTGCGGCGGCCGACTTTCACAAGACTGAACTCAAATGTTTGTTTACATGAAGAGACTAGTGCGTTTTACTTGGTGACCTTACAAAAGAAATCATCGCTTAACTTTGTGAACATACATTCAACATTCCTACAAAATCACCTTGACAAAAAAACGACCCAAAGTGTTGGCCAGCAAAAAATACTTTTGCTGTCACAACTTACCCCAGTGCGCCTACAGGGCGACATGGCGTTCCACCAGGTCTGAGCCTGCAGTGACATGTAAAATGTGCGTAACCTTTCTGCTAGCGTAAATATTTGCGCCATATCAAGAGAATTTTTAAAGATATTTCCTTTGTAACAACTTACCCCTGTAACAGATAGCCCCACTCTCCCCTGCCTAATAATTTTGATATCAATGGCAGCATGATACGATGATATAGTCCGCAATCGCAAATGATAGAAAGCATTTGCATTGCAAGAAACAAATAGGGGAAGCCGGGGGAAGCCCGGGCGCGGGGTAAGCCCGGCCACCCCGTTTCCGGCTAAATTATTCACAATAAAATGTTCAACTGTTTGTCCTTTGAGCGTGGCAGCTAAGGTAAAGCCAGCAAAAAAGTTAAGGCTGACAAAAATTGCATATTGTTAAAGTTATAGCGCAAAAATGATATTTTAAGGGTTTTTAGCTAAAAAGTGAGATATCTTGCACTGTTAATGTTATACCATACAGTACTAATATTTATACGAATGTTATGTAAGGACCGTTTAAGTGTTTGTAGTGAGGGGTGACGAGGCAGGCTGGCTTAAGTTTGACATTTTTCGAATATCGCTGTTCTAAAATAAAAATTAGCACATTGGGGTAACCCCGGGCGAGTAGCCAAGCTTACCCCCAACCGAGAGCAATGCCACTAAACCACTGTTTTCCATGAGATAATAGGTACTGAGCAGGTTTGGTTTACACCTAGATCAAAGATAAATTTCGAAAATAAACATGTTATCATAGACAAAGCCAGTCATGTCACTTAACCCGCGCCCCGTAGGGTTACCGGCGGACCCTACCACCCGTAGGGGGGGGGGGCCGTATCGGCCCCCCCCTAAGATCTCGGAAAGTTACCGGCCGATTTTCGAAATTCAAACGGCGTTCGATAGCCCCACCCAGGAACTACCTTGTGACCAAATTTCATTGACCTAGGTCAAACCGATGACGTCACAGGTCAGGTCAAAGGTCAGATTTTCACCGTTCACAGGCAATTCAAGAAATGTGCTGTGAAAGCGAGTAAATTGGTAATTTATTGAAAACCATCGATGGTACATTGTTCGTCAAACACATACTTTGCTATCTGAGGTCACTGATACCAGGTCAGGTCACAGCGAGGTCAGGTCACCGGGGGTCACAATATGAATGTGTCGTGTGATACATGTTTTATGGTCCATTTTACATGACAAATGCAATTATGTGGGTTAGGCAGCCTTTGGGGCCAGCCTAGGTCACGTTTTTGTGAAGGTCAGGTCAAGGTCAGGTCAAATTAGGTCAAATTTCAAAGTTGATATTTTTGCATAAAATGGGTATCGATTCGATGCAGCTCGTCACGGGGAGTCTAATGGTGGTCTTCGTTTTGCTCTACGAGTTCTAGAATTGCCAAAAATTGAGTTTGAAAATTTGACGTCATCATTTTTGAACAGTTTTTTTCGCTATAACTTGGCCAAAAAACGAGGTATCGATCTGAAATTTGGTATGTAGATAGAAGACGGTAGGCACTATCACATATATTCCGGTTTTTTCGAAACTCAAAAAAATTTTTGGATTTTTTGGCGAATATATCCAAAAAAATGCTTTTTTGATTTTTGGGGGTCAAAACTCAAAAATTTCAAAAATCCGAGATAGCAGTTTTGTAGCCCTGTCGATTCTACACCTTTTATGTCTTGATCATTTTTCTGTATCTTCAAAGCTGTAGTCCTGACAGGTCTTCTCGCGAAGGTCTTTTTTCGGTCGAAAATGACAGAACATGACGTCACTCTGACGTCATTTGTGGCCAACCTATCATAGCCTCTGGAAAAATTTTTGGTCACAATGTGTAAAATTGATGCCCGGAGGGGTCCTGAAAGTTTGGTGGCGATATCTCCAGCCGTTTAGGAGATATCGACCGAAAAGGAGAGGGGGGGCCGTTTCGGCCCCCCCTACGGGGCGCGGGTTAAGGTCAACTAGGGTCAAACTACGTTTTTGCAGATAACGCGACAGACAATGAAGCTAGAGCTTCAAAAATGGTGTTGTTGTGTTCTTCTTCATCAGCCAAGTCGAATGATATGCAATATGATGCATTCTCTCCCCTACTGCATATGTAGTAGACGCTAGCTAAGATACCTACCAGTAGTGACATAAACTCTAAGATGTCCAGAGCTAATCAGTACCTTAATATTTCACTTTCCGTTAATATTTAAAAAAAAAAAACACATAATGGTTTCATCAACTCGTTGTAAAGCGCTGGGGAGGTGGCCGGCGTTACCCCTATGCCGGGCTTACCCCAGAAAAATCAACACTTTTTTAAAACTCGATTTTCTCAACCTTATACTTATTCCACGAAACCGAATTTTTGGGAAAACACGGCCAATGAACTTAGCTAGCTAGCAGGATATCAACATTTTATACAGCACGTATGGTATGTAATAAAAATGAAAAAGAGCTTACTATGCCGGGCTTCCCCCGGCTTCCCCTACTTTTAAAACATTAACGAAACAGCGATTTTTTTTTTGTACAGACAATGAGATTATCGAGGCAATAATGAAGACCACGGACGGTATGACATATACTCGTATGACAACAATAGCGTCAACGGATTTTCAAAATTGTAAACATGAACAAAGAAAGCCGGTCCCGTAGCTCAGTTGGTTAGAGCGTTGGACTCCGCGTGGTGAGAGCACGCGTTCCCGGTTGTGACAGTCCGGGTTCGAAGCGCGACGGGCGCTCGACATTTATGGGCCTCCTGACAGGTATGGTTGCGGTTGGTGGCAGGCCGTAGCCAGGCGAAGTCAGCGAGGGGACCGGCCGTGCGCGGCTTTGTTCGCACGTTAAACTTTGGACTCTAAATTCTGCCATAGAATCGGAATTGCGCGATCGGAGGGTAGAGGCCAGAGGGCAGGGTCATCGCAACAAGCTTCGCTTAGCGGTGGCTCTGTCCTTGTGAATCCTTCCCATCAAAAGGTTCGGACTAAATTTATAAAAAAAAAGAATAAAGTAAGAATATATTTACCTGATACTGAAATCTCTCTCTCCGCGTATGCTGTAGTTGGTTTGAGTCGGGAATGCCACCGTTAGGTGAAGCGTGCTTCTCCCAGTGGCTGTATCTGGCATCTTCACGTCGAAACAGGTTTGCTTGAAACCGCCTGGAATGTAACATTGTGTGTTAAAGGGACTATCCCACCTTCTAAAATGTTGTTAAAACCAGCTAAATTGTGCCCGACTTTATAGATTGGATGACCAGGAACACGGTTCTGGCATTCATTTTTCATCAAACATCTTAGGCTTCCCATATTCCAAACACAAACATTCAAATATGTGACGTCACAGCCCAAAATTACCTCCTTCCTCAGGCCACATTACTGTCATAAAGCTGATTCTTTTTACTCTGTAGGCACCACAACAAAGTTCAGACCAAGTTTTAAGCGATTTTTCAACGAACAAACCCATTTAAATCAGAATGACTAAACGAGATGACGTCACACTAACGGTCGCTCCATGTTGAAGATAGGGCCTTGTACAAGGCCCATTTTCAAATGAAGGGAACGAATTTCTTCAACACCAAGAGGCCGCGGGGGTTGCAACCTAGATAGATAGTGGTTTCTGAACCTCGCCGCAAACTTGGCTATCTCAACTCAAACCCCATGTTAAAGGTGGGATAGTCCCTTTAACCCTCGCCAGCCTAGGAGGGGGGGGGAGGTGCCGCCCCCCTCATAGATTTTTTTTCGCGATAGCTCCGGACACGCTGGTGACAGAGAGCTGAAACTTGGCATACCTGACCTTTGATTCAAGCCGGATCTTTTGACATCAACCGCGTTGTCGGGTCAGGTCAGGTCACTGACATATGACGTCATAAGTTAGCCTCTGCACGGTCCTTAGATGTCGCAACTTCGCAACGCCCTCACTGCCAGAGGAGCTTTCACAGGAAAATGAAACTTGCAGGATCTCGTATCCATTACAAGTCTCACAACTTGTATACCTCAGATTTTTACTAAAGGCCATATGAGATCAGTCATTTTCATGACCTCACCATTATAAGTCAATGGGGAAAAATGAAAACTGCTATTCTGTCGCCGGGAACGATCTCCAACTATCAGAATCGTGATTTCATGCCCTCCTTGCAAGTCTAGATACGTCACTTTTGCAATACTGACCTTGCGTGACGTCATTTATGACGTCATCAAGGTCATATTAGTTTTCGTCAATAACTCCCGATCAAAATGAGCTAGCGAGTCGGGAAAGCCACCAATGGACTCAGGAAGACCTGCCAAATCGAGTGATATGCGATATGACCTCCTTCGACCAACTTTGTGACCTGGGGGCGCTGACCTGACCGTGACCTGAGGTCAACACCCTACCTAAGGTGACCTTATCCAACCAAAAGTATATCGTTCGAAGCGCCTGAGCAAGGCGAACATGATGCTGCCAAAATCGCGGCTCTGCGGCCGTTTTTTGGGAAGTTATTCACCAAAAACGGAACCGTACCTTGGGGCGCTTGACCTGACCTCAGAGATCACCGGTTGAACTAGGATCTTAAAATTGGGTATCAGTCTCTGCTTCTCGTAACGGCGCACACGCTCGTTTTTTTTTCTGCGACGCGAAAAAAACGGGGCGAAACGGCGAGGGGATGGGGTCGTTCCGCCCCCCCCCCCCTCGGCCGGCGCGTATGTAGAAAACCAATAGGTCCGGCGAGGCTTAAGTGAGCCATGCTGTTCCTCCTAACGATGTATAATAGTGGCAAGCTTGACGGTACATGATAATCCATTTCAGTCCAAAACCCTCCTGCAGTAAAAATATGACCATGAATAAGCAATGAATGCGAAACGTCAGGGGACACCTAATTTGAATTATCAATAAACAATGAATGCGAAACGTCGGGCAAAGCCTAATTCTTAAAAAATTAGCTTCAGCTTTAGTTAAAAACCATTGAACACTTTATTTAAAGGCCTTTCTAAACGCTCAGCAACACCTACTGTAGTAGTTAGGTGCTGCGGCGAATCACCCGTAAGACGAGGCGCTAGTCACGGAAACGGCCCTCAGCTGTCTGGGCGGCCTTAGTCGTCGGTACCGGATGCCGGCATCACTGCGCGGTCTCAATCGTCAAGGATAGTCCGGGCGCTGCGCTGGGCCAATGAGTCGCCAGTGGAGCGACCAAGGCTAGCAGAGTGGCTGCAGAGATAGATGGACGGCAGACATGGCGCCTCGAGCTGTGACTGATGACACCGACGCGCGCACATTCTTTCTGACACGTGGTACGTGAGTGGGGCCTTTTACACACTCGGCTGCTCGTTGATCAGTCGAAGGCAGTTCACAATGACTTGTCCCGACTCTAAAATCAGGACCGTCTGTGAGAGGCTTGTTCCGATCGTTGTCTTCTTTGAACAGCTTGTGAGCCGTTTGAGATAGCAATGCTCAGGCATGGGTAATTTGGCATGCTCCGTGAAACTTTTGTGAATTTTGTTGATTTAAAAAAAGATAAATTACGTGTTTGCGAACATCTTAAAAAGTGTCACTGAGCGCAGACTGTTTCGACATAACCCCTTAGGCATTTTTTTTGGCACGCGTAAAAATTCAAGACCGAGGTCTTTAAAGATTAGGTCTCCAAGTAACGTTTTAGGACTTTGCAAAAAGCCAGTTTACGTTGTGACCTAGTTCTGATCAAGCTTCAGTGCTACTTTTATCGCGTGATAAATCGCTTTAGCCCGAGCATGACTGGGGGGGGGGGCTACAGAGCCCCCTCCCCCCGTTTTTCGGCAATATCTTCTAAATCATTTGACGGATCAGCACGAAACTTACGGTACCTTCAGCGGCATCAATTTGACACCTTGTGCTAAGGTTTCAACTTTCTAGCTACCACAGTTTGGCCGAAAATGACGTCAGAGTGACTTCATGTCGGCCGATTTTGATGCAGACCCACCAATCTAGTCAGTCAGCCGACCCACCAATGTAGTCAGTCAGCCGACCCACCAATCTAGTCAGTCAGCCGACCCACCAATCTAGTCAGTCAGCCGACCCACCAATCTAGTCAGTCAGCCGACCCACCAATCTCGTCAGTCAGCCGACCCACCAATCTAGTCAGTCAGCCGACCCACCAATCTCGTCAGTCAGCCGACCCACCAATCTCGTCAGTCAGCCGACCCACCAATCTAGTCAGTCAGCCGACCGACCAGTCTAGTCAGTCAGCCGACCCACCAATCTAGTCAGTCAGCCGACCCACCAATCTAGTCGTCAGCCGACCCACCAATCTAGTCAGTCAGCCGACCCACCAATCTAGTCAGTCAGCCGACCCACCCGTCCAACCTGTCGGCATATGGCCTACCTGACACGCCGGCGACGGACTGAGTGTGTAGGGTGCGCCGGTCCCCGGAGCCGGAGAAGTCGAGGGTTAGGTCTCCCGTCTCGGGAACGTCGAACAGCGTCAGACACATCGTCTCCGACTCGCCGGCATAGGACACCTTAGGTGCCGTGAACAGATAATGTCTGCAAAAGACAACCGTGAATGTACACAAACGTTGTGGGTCACCAATGATGCAATGATGCTATTTCTGCATCCTAAGATCTCCAAATGGCCAATCCCAATTCATGTAAACAAAAAGCTTATGAATTGTTAATGAATGATAAGTTGGTGTGCTGCTCTACAATTTACAATGAATTAAAAATTTTGTGCTAAATATCATCCTGATACACAGCATATCCCAAGTCTGGCTCCGTCCTCTTAGGCCAGGCTGACTAATGGCCAAATAGCCCTCAATTTTAACATCTAACACTTTTCCGAGTCCACGACAGCACCGTAGGTCACTGTGCGTCCCCGGCTGGTCGTTCTGACGAGTCACGGACAGACGTTTCGAGCATGGAACCCACCTTTCAGCAACGGCTGCTCCGACCACCAGCGGCAGAAGCACGAGCCATCTCAGTCGACAGGGCGCCATCTCCAGCCACCAGCCGAGCCGGGGGGCTACTGGCGGCGCTCGGTGCGCGCGACGCTTCTATAGGCGAGCAGAGGCCGCCGTGACCCGCGGCGCCGGCCAGCCCCGCAGACCGCCGCTCCGGCGGGGACTTCACCCCAATGCACCGAACACGTCACTTCTCCGTAGGATCAGCGCCGCCGGCCTCCCGCGGCATGCCGGACGGTGACGACAGCGCCGCTACCGGCTACCGTCCCTGGAAAGCCCCACGGTGCGACGCAGAATAGTTCTGCGTGGTTGGGCGGCCACACGCCCGGATACCGGTGTTGGGTCAGTTCGCGCCAGCCGGTACGGACTGGAGCGGGGCCGCGTGCCGACCAGGGCACCAGGGACGTCAGATAAACAGAAGGCCAATAACATCCGCCCGGCGCCGATGGCTCCGCCGTCTGCTGCCGCACGTCAAGTCTCGACGTAAACTCACTGCTGAACAGTCATAACCTTTCAATCATTGACACGAGTTATGGCGATTGACGTCATCATTGGTTGGAGTGAAGGCAATCGCACTGAGACGGCCACCAGTCTCGCGTTTTCTGACTGCATGTTTGATATTTTGCACTTTCTGGTAGGTATTCATCTAAATATTTTAACGCTTGCAACATGTCTGTGCTGTTTATAATAAAATAAAGTTAAAGGCCAGCACACCAGACAACATAGCTCGTCAAATGTCAAATACTCGCGATTGTGACATTAACCCGAGCCCCGTTGGGGTCTGCCGAGCAACGCGCCCTGCTGGGGGGGGGGGGGGGCATTTTGGCCCCCTATGATCTCGAGAACCACGCAATATAGCGACAAGCGGCAAACGGCGTTGGATAGCCCCAACAGCGAACTACCTTGTGACCCAATTTCATTGACCTAGGTCAAACCGATGACGTCACAGGTCAGGTTAAATGTCGAATTTTCACCGTTTACAGGCATTTCAAGAAATGCGTTGTAAAATCGAGTTAAATGCATTTCATTGAAAATTATCGATGGGGTATTGTTCGTAAAACACATATTTTGCTATTTGAGGTCACTGATACCAGGTCAGCTCACAGAGGTCAGGTCACTGAGGGTCACAATATAAAAATATCATGTGATACATGTTTTATGGTCCATTTTATATGTCAAATGCGATTATGTGGGTCAGGTAGCCTTTGGGGTCAGTTTAGATTTTGTTCTGGCGAAGGTCAGGTCAAGGTCAGGTCAAATTAAGTCAAATTTCAAAGTTGATATTTTTGCATAAAATGGGCAAAACCTCGGAACGTTTCTTTGCACGATGTCAAAGTTGGAATTATGCCTTCTCCCATGTTAATTAACCCGCGCCCCGTAGGGCACATTGCTCCAACAGACGGTAAATAACTTTTGAAAATACCTATCTCCAATTTTAGTGTTTTCTGAACCAAAATTTTGCGAGGAATCCGATGGTGTGGTCCCTGAAATCTGAAAAATTTCCATTTTGGAGATAGCACCTATTTTTTGAAAAGTAAATATTCGTCATGCACAAAAGTCAAATAAATTGAAAATATAATGAGTGAATATTTATACTAACTCTAGAATGTATCGAACATGAATTAGTGATATATTTTAGCTGAGATGATACTATATCTGCTCATACATGTACATGAATTAGTACATTAACCCTCGTCGGCCGAGAAGGGGTGGGGCGGATGCCGCCTCATAGGGGTTTTTCGCGATAGCTCAAAACACGCTGAGGGAAAACAGCTGAAACTTGGCATACCTAATATTTTATTCAAGCTGGATCTTTTGACACCAACTGCGTTTTCAGGTCAGGTCAGGTCACTGACCTATGACGTCATAAATGAACCTCTGCACGGTCCTCAGAAGTTGCAACTTTGCAACGCCCTCAGTGCCAGAGGAACTTTCACAGGAAGATGAAACTTACAGGACGTAGTATCCTTTAGAGGTCTCACAAATTGTATATCTCAGATTTTTCCCAAATGTCACATGAGGTCAGTTCGGTCACGTGACCTCACCATAATAAGTCAATGGAGGGAAATATGAAAACTGTTATTTTGACGCCGGAAATTGTCTAAAAACTGTCCCAAGCACATGAAATCGTGGTTTCATGCACTCTTTGTAAGGTCCGATCATGAAACCACGATTTCATGTGCTTGGGATAGTTTTAGATCATTTCCGGCGCCAAAATAACAGTTTCAATATTTCCCCCATTGACTTACAATGGTGAGGTCACGTGACCGACCTGACCTCATGTGACATTTAGGTTAAATCCGAGATAAACAAGTTGTGAGACCTCAAAAGGATACTACGTCCTGTAACTTTCATCTTCCTGTGAAAGTTCCTCTGGCACTGAGGGCGTTGCAAAGTTGCAACATCTGAGGACTTCGCAGAGGTTTATTTATGACGTCATAGGTCAGTGACCTGACCTTACCTGAAAACGCAGTTGAGGTCAAAAGATCCAGTTTGAATAAAAGATTAGGTATACCAAGTTTCAGCTGTCTACCCTAAGCGAGTTTTAAGCTATCGCGAAAAGCCCTATGAGGCGGCACCCGCCCCACCCCTTCTCGGCCGACGAGGGTTAATGTACTAGTTCATGTACATGTATGCGCAGATATAGTATCATCTCAGCTAAAATATATCTCTAATTCCTGTTCGACACATTCTAGTGTTGTTACAAAAATTAACTCAATATATTTTCAATTTATTTGACTATTATGCCTGACGAATATTTATTTTTCAAAAAATAGGTGCTATCTCCAAATGGAAATTTTTTCGGATCTCGGGGACCACACCATCGGATTCCTTGCAAAATTTTGGTCCAGAAAACACTAAAATTGGAGATAGGTACTTTCAAAAGTTATTTACCGTCTTTTGGGGCAATGTGAGGGGGGCGAAACGGCCCCCTCTGTCCTTTTCCGTCAATATCTCCTAAACGGCTGGAGATATCGCCACCAAACTTTCAGGACCCCTCCGGGCATCAATTTTGCACCTTGTGACCAAAAATTTTTCCAGAGGCTATGATAGGTTGGCCACAAATGACGTCAGAATGACGTCATGTTCTGCCATTTTCGACCAAAAAAAGACCTTCGCGAGAAGAGCTATCAGGCCTACAGCTTTGAAGATACAGAAAAATGATCGGGACATAAAAGGTGTAAAATGGACAGGGCTACAAAACTGATATCTCGGATTTTTGAAATTTTTGAGTTTTGACTCCCAAAAATAAAAAATGGGATTTTTTGGATATATTAGCCAAAAAATCCAAAACGTTTTTTTGAGTTTCGAAAAAAAAACGGAATATATGTGATAGTACCTACCGTCTTCTATCTACATACCAAATTTCAGATCAATATCTCGTTTTTTGGCCAAGTTATAGCGAAAAAACTGTTCAAAAATGATGAGGTCAAATTTTCAAACTCAATTTTTGGCAATTCTAGACCACGTAGGGCAAAACAAAGACCACCATTGGACTCCCCGTGACGAACTGCATCGAATGGATACCCATGTTATGCAAAAATATCAATTTTGAAATTTGACCTAATTTGACCTGACCTTGACCTGACCTTCACCAAAACGTGACCTAAGCTGACCCCAAAGGCTGCCTGACCCATATAATCGCATTTGTCATGTAAAATGGACCATACAACATATATCATATGACACTTTCATATTGTGACCCCCAGTGACCTGACCTCTGTGACCTGACCTGGTGTCAGTGACCTCAGATAGCAAAGTATGTGTTTGACGAGCAATATACCATCGATGGTTTTCAATAACTTACCAATTTACTCGATTTCACAACACATTTCTTGAAATGCCTGTGAACGGTGAAAATCTGACCTTTGACCTGACCTGTGACGTCATCGGTTTGACCTAGGTCAATGAAATTTAGTCAAAAGGTAGTTCCTGGGTGGGGCTATCGAACACCGTTTGAATTTTGAAAATCGGCCGTTAAATTTCCGAGATCTTAGGGGGGCCGAAACGCCCCCCCCCCCCCCCCTACGGGTGGTAGGGTCCGCCGGTAGCCCTACGGGGCGCGGGTTAAACGAATGGGCAGTTTTGCAGGGTCATATTCATTCGCTTGTTGTAAAAATGTGATCAGAGGGAATGGATTCACCCCTTCACAGGTTATTGGGAGGAGACCATAGTACATGCCAGTATGCTTCTTTAAGCTAAGCAAATTCTTGTTTTCTGATAAAGTTCGTCTGAAATTGACAATTTTTAACATGGAAAGTCAATGAGAGTATCTTTGCTGTTTTATAACTCTTTACATTTCAAGTATACTAGAGTGAAAAATTCATAAATTGTGCAACTTGTGATGCTCCTTCTAATGACGTATAGACCGTTACCGCACATTGCACCATTTTTGAGAAAAGTAGTCAGAAGGGAGGTCTCGACCGGGATTTGGACCCAGTCACGATTGATATACGTACGACTAAGTGACAGTGGCAAGAGTAACTCAAGCCGCCTGTCCGTGTCCCTCTGGAAGCTCAGTTGGTAGAGCGGTCAGCGGTGGACTGCAGTCCGACAATCGTGGGTCGCTGGTTCAAACCCAGTCCGGAGGATGTTTTGAAAATGAGACTGCGCTGCCTTCTTATATGCCGCCGCGTTTAAGACGGCATTCACGTGCACTGGGTAGACGCGATGTGATGTAATGTAATTTCTGATGACCTGGCTGATGTGGTTTGCTTGGAATGTTTCATTGGGCGGTGACTTCGGACCGGTCGGTGATTTCTCAGATTGGTTCGTCGGGTGCAGCCGGGTGTTCGAGCTTCGCCCACCCCTCCCCTCCCTCGCCGCCCGGCGGGTCAGCCGTCCGCGGCCCCACCTCACCGGCTGCCGGCCGGTCAGTCAGCTGACTGCCCGCGGATGCCGATGCTGTGCGGGTTGCCTACCTGAGTTGGTGACCTTGCGGTGGTAGCGTGCAGCAGGAGGTATGTACTGAATTCGAATCTGACGGCCAAATAAAGCTTGGGCACTTGGTTTATTGAGCGTCTCAGGGTCAAGGAGAAGTCGCCGACAGGTTAGATCACATTTCCGACCCTGTCAGACGGCATTTTCGATCACCCGGGGCGCGAACGCGACCCCGCCGGCTTCCGGGCGCTCTGTCCCGGAAGTTATCGCGTAAAATGTGACAAACTACACACCAAAATGCACCAAATTCATCCAGAAATACGATGGTGAAAATTCCATGACGATATCTGCCATAGCGGCGACGCTACAGGCGCGCAAAGTTAAGAAATGCCGATTTTCCCTAACTTCGATCTTTAACCCGCGCCCCACTGGGGGGGGGGCTATTTATAGCCCCCCTCCCGTTTTTCTGCAATAACTTCCAAACCGCTTAAGGTATCGACGCCAAACTTTCAGTACCTTCGGCTGCATCAATTTGACACCTTGTGTCAAAATTTGAACTTCGTAGCTACCATAGGTTGGCCGGAAATGACGTCAGAGTGACGTCATGTTCGGCCGATTTCGACGCAAAACATTGAACCACGGCAATCGCTCCCAAGAGCTCAGTTCTTAAGCTAGATCCAATTTCTTTGCATTAGAGGACTCAGAATAGACTGCGCTATCAAACTGCTATCTCGGATTTTCGAAATTTTGAAAATTTCGAAAATTTGATATAATAAAATTCAAAATTTATATTTTTA